CGCTCAAGAGTAGTGAACGCAGTGTACGTTTTATTAGGTATAGTATGTTGAAAATTTAGTTTATCGTAATTCAGTTATACACAACTACATAACACAACTGTTACGTTTTCTGAAATAAATAACAATAAATTATGATCGTGAACGCGTATAATATAATTTATTTTTTCTCGAATTTTGTATAGTGTGGCGTGACATATTCGCTACTTAACATTGTGAAAAGTGCAGTGCGCGGATTTTTATTCGACAGTGCGTGTAATTAACAATAAGTACACGGATTCTTGATGTTCATGGATTTTTGGATGGAACTGATAAGGAGCAGTCTAAGGCAAAATCTGCAGCGAAGCAGACTACAATACCTTAGCTAGTGAGTACAATGATTTTATTATTTTAATACAAAATTTATTACGATAATACACATATAACTACTGTTATTTATTAAAATTTATATTTAACATGTGTTAAAATTATTTAAAATATTTATTAAATAAGATATGTAATTAAAATATATATTAAATTTTCCAGGTACAGCTGTAGAGCGTATTTAGTTAAGGTACAACGACCGGTGAGTGAATTCATTCCATACAATTATTAAAATTGTACTTTGACAATTACACAAGTTTTTTATGCAGTTTATTAATTTTAAATTGGTGTAAATATTCAAAATTTTGTAAATATAAATTATGTAAATGTGTAGAAAGAAAAATTTTATGAAAAATAGATTATAAAAAATTAATTATATTTAAAAACTAAAATTTTTTAAATATATACTTTTAATCTAATGACACATTCAATGTAATTTTAATATATATGAATATATTCTTTACTTATGTTCATTAATAAATTTAATTATTTAATGTTTTTGCAACAGAGCATAAATTGTCAAAATACGATTTTAAATATACATTTTATTAATGCAACAAAAATATGTGTTATTGATGTACATTATTGATATATTTGCTTATATAGCAAACGATATCTTTAGTATATATAATTATTTATTCATTTCAATATTTTTAACTATATTACATATACATTTTGCATATTATTGATGCTACCGTGTCAAAATTTAATTTTAATTTCATCGTAAAGATCTGGTGATTTTGCATACATATAAAATATTATAAAAATAACATGACCTATCTTTTCATAATGTTTGATATGGTAATATGTAGAATTTTTAATCAAACAACTTAAAAAGTTAAAGGTTAAAACTGTTTGAAATCTGATTAATCAAACTTGGTTTAAATCTTTCGAATTGTTTGAATAATTCATCATTATAAAATTCGTTTGAATCCTAATAAGAAGCAATAAACTTTAGATATTTCGCACAGAATAATTTCAAGGTCAGAACAAGTCACATGGCAATTAATATTCATTTTTTTTCTTGTCTCTTTATAATCATCGTCACATCATAAATTTTTTTTATAAATATCACATGATTAAAACATGATTTGATTCTACTTTAAATTCTCATGTTATCTTCTAATATCATTTGATCTATCAGTCATACTTTCATAAACATTAGGAGATCATAATAGACAGTATGTTTGTAATCAAATAAAAATAGAACTCCAACAATGATCGTTGGATATTTACTGGAGCAATAATTTAAGATATTTTTTATTGTTCCATTGTTTATCATCAACACGTATTAAGTACTCTCGTTTAAAATCTGTACATCAAAGAAAATCTAGCATATTTTGCCGGAAGAAAATATCAGTATCAAGTATCAAAATATTAAGAAGCTATATCAAAGATAATCGTCAATCAGACGTTTACTTAGAGATAGAATAATGTTGATATGTAAAGATTTTTTTCGAATATAAAACTGAAAAATGTGTATCATAAAAGTACATTTATTTTTATTCTACAATATATGTTCTATAAAGAGAGATATAACAAACCAAAGTTCCGATATCGAAACTTTTGTGTAAAAATAATTTTGTAAATACATGCTACAATTATATATTTGATATGCGGGCAGTAGAAATTTCAATTTACTTTGTTATGTCAAAACGTGAGTGAGATCTTGCGTACATAATTTTTTATGAATACTTGTGTAATACTTTCAATTTAATATTTTTTAAATATCAATATATTTTTAGACTAGTAATTGACAATAAATCTCGCCGCTACCATCGGTTGCCCTCTAGTTATAGCCGCAAACTCTCACCTCCACTGATCCTTGAATTTATGTATAACGCCCGAAGGCGAAAGGGACGGAATTGCAGAATCGAGACACTCGGTTCTTCCAGGTCCTGATTTTCACAGTCACTGATGTTACCGAGATTTGCCGTTCTGTCGCACGAAAAGCGGTATCGATTTCTTGAATTTGAATGTTCGACAGTCCGGGCACGAAATTCTCGCATCACACCCTGTCGATTTCATAACCCTTGTCTCAAGTCCTTTCCAAAGGACCTTTACGCCATACCGCGTTAAGAGATCTTATTTTCCCCATACGCCTGCCCTTTTTATTTTACCGTGAAAATATGTCAGTCATATCTATCATCAGTCAAGCTAAGACACATATATTTCATGATTACGTCCCTCGAACTTAATAAAAGAGTCAAAAGTTTCTAAGATTTTTCATAAAGTTATTACAGGATTGTCTAAACTTGATACAGTTTAGATTGTCAGATTTTGACAAATATTAGGATAAGATAAACCAATTTTCTTACTTGTTTTATCAAACATATTATTTAGACTTATGAAACTTTATCAGTTTATCCCCTTTTGATTGCTTACACTTAAAGATCAAATGTCTTTCCTATTATTCTTTTCTTAAGTTTTCTCAAGCTTTATCTCCTAGCTTTATCGAGTCTTTTGATGCTGCAAACAATAGAGTCATGATTTTTAGAACTTTTTGTCGCGGCACAATAGACGTACCTGTCCTCAGTGCGTTTGCATCCTTGGAATCTTAGATTGGTGCGTGCTTGTAATTTTAACAGCGTCCTTGAGTTCTTGCACGAGCGAGTCCTGAGAAGCTTGCATCCTCGTGTCGCAAACGAGAAGACGTTCTCAACGTGGATTTCCGCTCGACGGCTTTGCGGCCGGAGGCGGCCAATTTCCACCCCCTCGACTGACGACACGACGCCCCTCGCGTTGACTTTGCAAATATTTAACTGCTGCTACTCTCCGCCAGACTCGTCCTTAGCCACTTCTCCGTCCAATTATTCCTCTTATCTGCCCGAGCGAGAAAGTTGCTCTTGATTTTTCCCTGCAAAAAGATCCAGGAAATTAAACTTTCACCGTTCGAAAAATGGAACATTACAGTTAATAAAAATTATATTAGCCAATAAAGTTAAATAACTATTATTAAAAATAAACAAAAATTATTAATCTAAACTATTAATCTTTTAAAAATCTAATACGCACTATTCAGATCTTTTTAAAGTTACGGCTGTTTGTCCATTTAGTTACTGAATGATCCTCGTACAAAGACAAACAAAACACTATACTGAAAGATGACGTTGCATTAAAGGATTTATTCAAACGATTTTCTGAAATAATGCAGAACAAGATAATTCGTGGCTTTAGTGCTAGAAAGAGTTGGTTAACGAGCATAACTACGCGGTAAAGCGCGAAGGCGATGTTGAATGCAGGAATGAAACGGAATTTCGCGAGGAAAAACTCTTTGCGCAGCTGCGCCCGGCTTCCGGAAATTCTCGTTAAAAAGTTCTTTTATTTTCTCGCTCCTGCGTTTTCCGATGCCCATCGTGGATTCCTTGCCGCGAGCTGCAAAATTGCGCGATTTATGCGCGTAAGCAAACTTGTCAAATAAATCCTGCTAATTAATTGTGTCGTTATTTATCGACTGACATTTACATTCTACGTTGATTTAGCAATCACTAATTTGTCGAGAGTTACATGACTGATAAACTCATCAAGCCGTGCATTTTTTGCAATTAATTAATTCGCCAGACTGAGCATTACTTTAAAATTAATAAAATAGTTTATTTTTTTTAGTATGCATCATGTTTTAAAGTTATTATTATCAAAGAGTCCTTTAGATAATTACAAGAAGATATATTTTACAAAAACCAATTTAGCATAATAATATATTATATGTTATATAAATTATAAACTCAATAAAATAATAATAAGCCTTAATTAACGTAATTAATAGCCTTTACTGTATGATTTTAATAAAATAATAACGATAGACGGATTGTAATTGTTTTAAATATTGCTAATTGTGAAATGGTCAGGAATATAGAGATGATTGATTCATTTTGACACGATTTTAACTTTAAATGAACAATTGCATATTTATTATAATATTAATGATAACGAGAGAAAACACAATATTGTGGATTGTCAAGAAATAGGAAAATTAATTAGCATATAATAATAGCAACTATTTTGTTTGTCACATAATCTTTAAAATACACTAACTTTTTAAAAATATAACTATGAAAAAATTTAATTAGTGATGGATAGCTTGGAAAAATAAAAGTAGCTTAAACAAGAAGAATTGGCTTGAATTAAATTGACAGTAGCGTTGCACAGCATTTCGTAATTTTCAATCTCAAACAAAAATTATATATATATAATAATATTAATACTAAATTATGATAAAACAAAACAATTATAGATTATTAAAAAGAATAAGAAAAATATTTAACATATAATAATGGCAGTTGTTATTCGTATCGCATCATCTTTGAAATACTTTGATAGTTTTTTTTATTTGCGATTGGGAGGGAATCTGATTAGTGACAGGCAGCTTGAAAAGAAGAGAAGTAGCTCGAAGGAGAAGAATCGGCTTGAAGCAAGCTCGAAGGTAGAATTGTACGGCATTTCGCAATCCCGGACTCGAACCAGCGACTTACGCTGGTCGGTGCCGAGGATCGATCCCTTCTGCCGTATCGACCATGCTGGGGATGCACTTCCGCCCATTTTCCATCCTGAGCCGAGTCCTGAGCGTTTTCGCAACGCATGCGCAGCCGGTGGTGAGCGTCGTCGCCTGACGCCAGTCTGTCGGGGGTCGAAGTATCGGCTACATCGGTCGGTTGGTTTTCCTCACGTACCGCGGCGTCCTAGCGATGCTTTCGTCCCTTTCGCGGTAATACTGTGCCCACCCTTCATCCCGTCACGCGTCAAATTCGTCGCGGTGCATCAACCGGGGTCGACGTCAATCAGCGGTGCAGTGCCAGGAAGGGTGGTAGTTTGCGATCTGGGAGGTAGCTCGCCGAGGGAAGAAACGCGAGGGTGGTCGCTGCGCTCTCTTGACCCCCTCTTCCCACTACCTACCCCTTTTCACTAGGATTTTTCGGTGCGCTGCTTTCGTTTGTGCCAGGGGTGGTTACGTCCAAGGATTGCTTCCAGCAAGCAAAAACCTTGTTGTCCATGCGATACGACGAAAGTTGAAATTACTTGAGCGCGCCCGATAAATCGGCGTTATCGGGAAACGATTTTCCCGACTCGGCAAAGTTTGAAGAAATACGCCGACGACGGGGTGCCGACGCGGATTGTCGGGTGAATTGAAGGCAGAGCGGGTGATCCCCGCGACGTTGTGTGAAAAAGGAAATCCCCCACAATAGTGTTCGGTCCGTCGCGATAAAAAAAACGATTAATCGCGCGTGACTTTTCTCATTCAGTGTTGTGCCGGTGATCGCAGATTATCGCTCAGTGGATCAATCGGAAAAGTGTAAATTTCATAGAGTAATTGTCAAGGATGATCCTAATCTGTTTCTGTTTGCAAAGTGTCTATCTAGAAATCCACGGAAAGTTAGCCATTGATCAGTAGTGCGATTTTACCTAACTAGGTTAATCGAAAGTTCAAGCTGTTGACTTAGCGCAAATATAGTATCTCTGGGGAAATTTGCATTTCCCGTTCAAGAGATACTGGGAGGCTTCGATACAAGTGACGCATTTCTTGAACGCATAAACGCATCGCTGTCTGGATGCTTCTTTTATTTTATGGTGTGCGTGCCTTTGTGCGTCTCGTTCAAAGAGCCAAAGCAACCGAAGGATTTCCAATTTCTCCCTTTTATCGATCGTAAAAGAAGCTTGGAGTTCTTTAATGCAAATAATAACATCACACGCAATACTTTATGTTGTTTAAAAAGTTGAAATCGGAGCAATGTCAGTTCCTTTAAACGCAATGCTGCTTTCTCCAGCGAATTAACTGTCGGGGGAAAGAATCGCATTAGAGAAAATTTTGTTTGACTTAATCGAGAGATTAGTCCGATGAATAGTAAGATGCAAGTCTGGCGTGACTCTCGACAGCCGCGATCCGTCCAAAGAAATTTTAAATGAAAAAAATTAGGAAATTATTTTCCGCGTATTCCTTCTTTTGCTTGCCAAAATGAAACGAATGGGCAAACATCCGAAGGGCGGTTTTCTGCTGGGCGTAATTAGAGCCGGCGCATTCTACCTTTTTCGATATATCAAACACGCCATTAGAAACGAGATCGTCTTCGTGTGAGTGATAAGACACGCGCGAACGTGACAGCGGACGTAAATGAGGGAGGTGATCGTGAGTGACGGAAAATCATCAAGAGGAGAAATTACGTTGATGGAAATTTTTGACACAGAAAGCCACCTTGTGCATAAATAAATAGTTTCATTGATCGTTCCGACTGGACGTTGAAAGGTGAACTTATTACGATCTCTCCTTACGCGTAGAAAGCCATCTGTTATTCGATGAAGCAGCGAGACAAGGCGACAGTCTCAAAGATCATTAACGCTAGCAACTTGATAGCGAAGCTGATGATACTTAAAAGACAACAATGATATAATTTATAAAGGATAATATAAAGTTCATGAAAAATACGCTGATCTTCATCAACGTGGAATGTTTCAACTTTTTCAAGAAATTTTATCAGGATACGATTAGATGTATAACGACAAGAGATTCAGAATAAATAGTTCAATCTCTTTTTAGATTATTCGAGAAATAAAAAAAAGATCTAATTTAGGATGTTTCTTCCTCTATTAATTTGCAGTCTTCCTTAAATCAATTGCGTTAAAGCTTCGCAAGTTTTATATTTATTCTTGATCGTTTAGTATATTGTCCGAGATTATCTCTCAAGATCATCATGTTCAAAGGATGATGGAAGATCTCTTTTATCTGACTAGTGCTTCATTTAAGCTCAAAGAGATCTAATTAAAAGCAACATCAACCCTCAACAGCTTTCGGACTAAAAGAGATCAAGACCGCGACTCTATTTTGGAGCATTAAACAAAAATTGGGCTGAAGAAAAAATATCAAATAATAATACAGCGGTATCATAATTATCTCGAATTTTTCATTCTGCGAGAGATTGATGCATTCAGAAGAAAGATCGATTTCTGAGAGTCACGATATGGACCAGTCGGCGTATATCTGCACTTCCGGCGGTGGTTAAAATCGAGAAACTCGCGGCAAAAGGCAGGAAAGGCGGCATGAGAGGCGTTCGAGAAGCGACGAGAAGGAAGTGATCGGCGGAGGTGCGCCGAAGACGTCGGTGATCGCGTCAAAATGACGTCGTCGATCCTGGCGCTGCTCGGCTTGATCCTGGCGGCCGCCGGAATCGATCTGAACTCAAGAATTGTCACGACCAAATACGGCGACTTATCAGGCGTGATTGTTACTCTCGACCGGAACCTTGAGAGCGTGGAGGTATTCCGCGGGGTGCCCTATGCCTCGCCGCCAACCAGCTCGTTACGTTTTATGCCGCCCGTCAGTGGTGCCCGTTGGCACGGAGTGAAGGTTGCTGATAAGTTCGGACCCGTCTGCCCCCAAAAGCTACCCGAGCTCAGCGATAAGATGCCCAAGGGCAGGGTAGAGTACCTCAAGAGACTGTTGCCCTACCTCAAGAATCAAAGCGAGGACTGTCTATACCTCAACATTTACACACCGGCTCAAGGTAAAATTTCTCCAGCCTTTACGCGGTAGCAAAATAAATATTGAAGGAAACTGCGATATGAGTAACCAACAATTAGAAATATGAATTTATCTCATTATTATTTGGTGATACAAGTTCGGCTAATAAAATTGAATTTGCTTTTAAAATACTTTATTTTTATTAAATTTTATATTTATATTTCTTTTTATACATTAAGTTTTTACATTATATTAAAAGAATTTATTTTATATATTCGTATTACTATTAAATCCTTTATTTATATCAATTTTAAAAAATGTTAGTACTGTAAAAAATAGAATTTTGGAATCTAGAATTTTATACCTCAGAGTTCTTATTTTCTCTCTTTGTTTTCTAAGATTTAAAAATAATTGCTCCGTTGATTGCTACGTTTATAACTGACTATTCATTTAAAAAAATCAAACAGATATAACAAGCTACAATTCATTCGCTTTGAAGCATCATGTATACTTTGATGCACGCCTAAATAGTAATCAAGCCGTAGATTAAATTTCAATTTGAACGAAAATCAAACGCAAAAGGATTTGAAGAATAAAGTCCTATTATCAGTACACAATTTTCCGCGGAGGGGGATTCGATAAACGCGTCCATCCATAGACAGATAATCCTGCATTGGATGCAGTTTATTTCCCAGATATCCAATTTACTTGTACAAATCGTAACACGCGATATAACGATTGCTTTTTTATTTTGCTTGTAAACTTGTAATTAACACAATAGTTACGCGGAACGTTTGATATGGAGTCAAGTTGCACTATACCGAATTCCATTCTACATCTCATTTATCTATGGCAAACGTATCGACAAAATGCAACTTCCCTTCAATTACGATATACGATGGACACCCATTTTATGCAAAGTACCGTATCTAAGCGCTCTGTTCGCACTTTATGATCGTAAAAGCGGAGACATCACCGCTTCTGGTGGACGTTAACGATTTTCCTTCCCCGCGAATCAACATAGTTCGAGACGCTAAAATGTTGTTATTTTAAACAACGCGCAATGAATATCTATTTCACGTAATATCTATTACGATATTTGCATTTTGCGCTTGCAGTTTTTAATGGAAATTAACAACTTCTTTTCCCCGTGAATTAACGTAAAATTGCGATTTTAAAACTTTGAATTAAATTTTAATGTCTTCAGAATTTTATTAAATGTTACAATTTATATTTTGATATTTAATAAATGATGTCGTTTCGCGATAAACGTGTGTACTTTGCGACAAAATAATACGCACGCTTATTATTACGATTTGCAAATCTCTGCGTCATAAATGTGACCTTGTTAAGTCAGCCAATTATTTTGCAATTTACTGGAAAGGAGTTTAAAGATGATGAGTTTCTTTGTGCACAATCTTTTCTCGTTTCTTTTGCGTAAGGTATATAGTCGTAAGAAATCCGCGTCGATTCTTCATCTGCCTTTCATCGGCGTTTCTCGAGGACGAAAGCTTTCCATATTTCCCGCGGGTGCATTAATCCTAATATCGAATATCAAGCTCGCACGACTCTCTTTAATGTTGGATAAATACGAAGCGAAGTGTGTATATAGAGTGAGTATGTTGACGTCAATGTGATGAATACGTGACATGATTGTAGTTGCTTTTTCTTTAAGGATCGAGTTACTTCTATTTTATGACTGTGCTAGATAATAAAACTGAGAAATATGAAGGCTATAAAGATTTTTAATTTATTATCTAAAATAAAGTTTGTGTTACATGAACAACAATATTTAATCTGTAATTCAAAATTTAGGAAATAAAATTAAAGCAGCATAAACAAAAAGAAATAAAATTCAATAAAATGCGATAAAATAAAATGAGTTAAAAAATAGAATTTATAAAAATACAAAAAAAAAACTTAACTCACTGTTGTAGAGAAAGGTATTTAAATCGTGAAAATCTGCGCCACAACGTGTCCTTTCTTTTCTGTATAACATTTCACGAGAGTAGGAAACACGTTCTAATAATAAGGCAGGCACTTTCGCATTTTCTTCTCTTCGTAGCGGGTTACATATAGTCGAAGTACTAGCAAAGTTTTTCACCTGTGTATTGCAACGGCGGCTCGAGTCTGCGTGTGGCGGTCTACACGAGAACTTAATAAGAAACTTTATAATCACCTCGTGCTTAGAGAGATTAAAGCACGCGAGAAGTAACTTTCCGCGCGGACTTAAGTATCTAAACTAGATAATAGTTTCGGAGCCTAGGCAAGCCGATCAATCTTTGCTGCCCAGACTCGATACTGCGCGAAAGTATACATATAACACCTCAATTATAACCTAGAAATATAAAATCCACTATTTTCCAGCACACACTAGAGTGAGCAGAATTTCCATGATTAGAAAATTATCTGCCGAATGGGTGAAAATTTGCGAAAATTGGCGTTCCTGAAATTTTGTACTATTTTAGGATAATAATTCAGCAGGCCGCCATTGTCGCGCGGTTCCAAACAAAGAATCCACGAAAGCGACCATTAATTTGCCGATTTGAATGGGAAGTGTTATTTTATAGCTCGCGTTCGTTTCCCATAAATCGCTTTGCAGCCGCGGAATTCGCACAATCCTTTCCATCCCACTCGTTGGTCCACCGTCGCGCTCTCGCGACATTATTTTCCATGCGCTGATTCCAAAAAAGATTTTGTTGTGATCCTATTTATCCGATTTACGCTGAAAGGTTCATTCAAATTCGAGAATTAAAAAAAAACTCTCGAATTTATTAGTTAAAAATTTAAAACTTTTTCTTCTAATGATAATTATAAAGTAATAATTTAATTTGTGTTAACGTTTTATTGTTTTTTATTTTATTAATGTTCTAATACTATTCTTATTGTACTAATTCTAATCATAAAATTATAATATAAAAAAACTTGTCATGCATTTAAGTGAATATTTATTATATCACACATTTAGGCTGTACGCACAGACAACGAACCATAGTGTGAATACGTGAAACTCCACGAACAATTGAAAAAAACTGTATTAAACACAGTGAGAGATGATTTACCGAGGGTTGAAGAACGATCCCCGCGTGTTATCGCCTTTTTTCTCCCTTTCTCTCCTACACTATAAATTCTATTTCGATATTGAATGGCGAACGCCTGCCGCATATGTTTTATCCGTTCAAGTATCATCGTGATCTTTGCATCGCGCAACGTTATCGTTATCGCTTCTGCACAATTCGGTGATTGTAAATTTCCGAAGCAGGTAAAACAACGCAAAAATAGTTTTATATATTTACAGTATGGGAAACATACAGATTTACATGGAATATTATACGTATGTTCAACTTTTTAGTATTTTTTTTATGCAAAATGCATGCATTTTTCAATTTTAATTTAAAAATTTTTTGTTATTTTTGCGTAGGTATATATCATTGGTTAGATTTTACTATAATAACTAATAAAAACTTATATGTTTAAACAGAATTTGATAAATTATATATATAGAAATTGAAATACACAAAAATTTTATTAAAATTTAATAATTTTAATTAACAGATATTTTTAACAAATAATTTTGTTTTACTAAAAATATACATTGCAACATAAAAAATAAGAAACACTTGTTAGACGCTCAAAATCGAGCAATTTTTAAATCATTTTAAAACTCGGCAAGAAACCATCACAAATAAAAAATTGAAAAAACATTTTAAAACATCAAATTTGTACTTTCATGTACTTTAGACCGCTTTTTGAAAATTTTTTATCTTTATACTTCTAAACCTTATATTGTTTTGTTCCTTAAAATTACGTAAGTACATTTATTCAAAATTACATACAACACTCTGCAGCTTGATAAAATAATTTTTTTGCAAAATTTATGAGAAAAAGTTAAAAACTACAACATTTTACCTACAAAATGCTTTTTTCTTAATTTTCCTACGATATTTTTTGACTAAATTATGTGACTTTAAAACTAAACCTGCATTTTTCATGTTAGTGTTAATTCAGCTGGCAAATGTTATTTTTGACAAAATATAGAGACTTATCATAAATTTTGCGAAAAAAATTTGTTGTCAAGCTACAAAGTGTTAAAAGTTCGTAATTTTTAGAACAAAGCAATGTGTTTTTCTTTTAAGCTCAAAACTGTAAAAACAACAAATTTTTAAAAACGACTGACAGCACATAAAAGTACAAATTTCAAACTTTAAAATGCTTTTTTAATTTTTCGTCTACGATGATTTTTTGCTGAGTTACAGCAGTTTGAAAATTACTCAATTTTAAGCGCTTGAATGCTCGACGCGACAGAGCAGTGCGGCCGAATGGCTGACAAAAGCATTCACGCGTAAAAATGGCGTGTCGCGCATCGCTCACGCAGCGTGTATTGAAGACGCACTGCTCTGCCGCATCGAGACGTTTGGACGCTTAAAATTACGCAATTTCAAATCGCTGTAACTCAGCGAAAAATCAACATAAATAAAAAATTAAAAAAACTTTAAAGCTTGAAACTTGATACTTTTACGTGCTTTAGGCCGTTTTTGAAAATTTTTTATATTTATACTTTTGAGTCCAAAAAAAGAACACATTATTTTGTTTCTTAAAATTACGTAGATACTTTCAACTTTACAACTTAATAAAAAATTATTTCTTTAAAAAATTTATAACAAGTGCTAAAAAGTACAACATTTTATCTACCCAAAATGCATTTTCAAAATTTTACTACAATTTTTTTTTTTGGATGAGTTACACAACTTTAAAACTAAACTTATATTTTTTAATGCTAATTCTGGTGGCAAACTTTATTTTTCATAAAATCTAAGGTTGGTTTTAAAGTCGCCTAACTCGGCTAAAAAAAATCGTAGTAATATTTAAAAAAAACACATTGTGTAGATAAAATGTTATAGTTTGTGATACTTGTCATAAATTTTTTGAGAAAAATTTTTTATCAAGCTTTAATTGTTAAAAGAACATAATATTAAGAAACAAAATATGTTTTTTTTTTGCTTAAAAATGTACAAATATAAAATTTTCGAAAAACCGTTTAAA